GGCAGTCTGTGCTTCTTATGCCTATAGTGACTCCAGTGGAGTAATTTTTATGAGAACCACTTTCCTCTGCCTCACTAACCTGATTAGCCTGTGGGAGAATTCTTCCTCCTCCACGGAGTCCAGATCTCATTACAGTGCTTGGGCCCAGTTACTGGCATTCAGCACTTGCCAAATGCAGTTAAAGGAAGTGACATGTGGGTGGGGACGCATACTCTCCTCCTGGTAGATTTGATTGTACTTAATGGCCATTCCCAAGAGGCCTGCCCTCTGTGCATAAACACATGGTAAAAATAGCCCTTCACTGGCTGACTGTCTCTGAGGGCTGGAAGGACCGTTGTAGACCATGCGGCCCACCTTGATCTCCACACAAGAAGCTGACTGCAAAATTGAAATCTGCTGGGGTGAAGGAGCCTGAGCAGGAAAGAGCCCTAATTCAGCCCTCCCTCCTGAGCTCTACCCTGCGTCCCGACCGACCTGGAAACCAACACTTCCATGATGGCCCGCTTTATCAAGGCCCCGGGGGCACTCTTCTTTATATAATATCTTCCCTTAAATGAAGCCATGTTTTAAATCTGTTACACTTAATTTTTTAAAGCTTTTGTAAAAACACATAAAGATAACCCTACAAATACAGTCGATGCAAGCGAAGCTGAGTTGTTAATGCCCAGCTACACATGAATGCCTTTGTGAAAAGGAGGACGGACAGCACCCAGATTCGTCAGACCCCTCCCCCCAGGACTGACTGACTAGCAAGAAGGACGGAAGCTGCCAGAGGGGGACTTTCTCACAGTGGAGCGTGATGTTACTTGATGCCCGCCTCCCTAGCCTGCTCCACACCTCACTATACAGGCAGGAAAGGGGTGACCCATGAGGTCAGGAGGTGGCCCTACCACTCATGAAGGTGGGTCTCCTCAGGCACAGGAAGAGTCCACAGAAGGGCCTGGTGTGGTGGGGCTCAGGCCTGTAATCTCAGCTGGTTAGCAGGGTGAGATCAGGAGGCTGATCCTGTGAGGCCGCCCCCAGTGAACAGCAAGAGCCCATTTTGTAGCCGTACGTGAAGGGGTTGGAGTGTGGAGGACACACAGGACAGCAGACTGGCCGCATCGGCCAGCTATTGCTGCATAACAAGCCAGTCCAACTTGCAGGCCTACCACGCCGCAGCTTCTTTAGCTCACGGTTTTGTGGAGCAGCGGCTCGGGCTGGGCTCTGCTTGTGGTCTTTTAGTCTTAGTGGAACTTCCTCCTGCATCATTGGACGTATTCAGGTCTCCAGAGGCGCTGGCACTGTCTGCCTCTGGGCCTCGGCTCCCCACATGGTCTGTGACCGCGTGTGCTATGGCTGTTGTCGGGGGCTCACGTGGCAGCAGGAGGAGAGGTGAGGCGGCCTCTTGACACCTGGCTCAGTCTGGCCTGGTGTCCTTCTAGCCACTGTGTCATGGCCAGGGAGGTCAATCACTCCACCTTCTGAGGCAAGAGCCTCCAACCAGTACAGAGGGCGGGCCACAGGGAGGCCATTCCCTGGGGCCTTGGATTAAATGGATCATCATTTTATAGAGACATAAGAAGTCAGTCGGGCACCTGTCTGTGATCCTGGGGTTCTAGGCTGGTTGAGCTAGGATCTGAGCCCAGGGCACCAACTCTGAGGCCTGTTGACCTTGCGCTGCCCTGTGCTCATGGTCGTCTCCACTTGCCATCTCCGTCGATGCCCCCTCACTTTCTTAGTCTGCCCCGTTTACCCATGAGCTGACCTCCCCAAGGTCAGTCACTGAGCCGAGGCACAGCCCCAGGCCTTGTGTCTGACATCTGCAGACCACAGCCTCTCTCTAGAAGCGTACTTGGGGCTGCAGTCTCTGAGACTGTACCTTCTTCATCCCCTCCTCCTCTTCCTCCTCCTCCTCCTCTCCCTCTTCCTCTTCTCCTCCTCCTCACAGTGTTTTCCCAGGGTTCCTGTCCTTCCAGTCGACCTCCCCTGGGCAGTCTAACCCCTGCTGAAGACATTGGTGATCATAACTGGCAGACCGCTTTCAGACCTTCACCTCCGCCTGGACCTCCACTGCCTCTCCCAGCAACCTCCCCCATGACCTGCGGCGCCTCCCTTCCTTTACGTTCTACAGTTCAGGAAGGCACCACCAACCAGTGACATGAGCCAAAACCGCAGGCTGGCTCTTCCGGAGGTGATGGGTAGGCAGAGACCAGCACTACCTGAAGGGGGCAGTCTCTGCCCAACGGCGGGCAGGCCGTGGCCAGGCGCAGCCCAAGCCTGGACTTTCAGAGGAAACCCAGCCCAACACGATTAGGTGCCGGGGGTTCACTGTTGGCTGCCTGTTCGGATGTTGTAAACCATCGTGCAGGCCGAATCTTCTGCAGCCCAGGTACACGGCAGCTGCCAGCCACACCACTGCCTGATCTCCCAAGCGGCTGGCCATCTCTCCAGCCAAGTGGCTATGTCTGGACTGAGTCCTAGACTGCCTCCAGCCCGAGCTCTCTGGGGTTTCAGATCCACAAGCCCAGCTACCCAACAGCCCCTCACATCCCAAGCCCACATGAAGGCTTCTGCCAGAGGAACTGAGAATCTAGATTTGCCATGTGAAATCACCAGCTTCTAAAATGTATGGTAACAAGGTTTAGATGGAAAGGCAGTTTCTCTTGGGTCAGAGTTGATATGTGAGCCACCAGGCTGCTACCCGACTTAGTGTGAGCTAAGCCGCCACCACACCACAGACAAGGCCTCGCCAATCTCCGCCAACCCCGAGGGGGTTGTCTCCGCCTGCGTGTCAGGCCATGGACTCCCTGCAGGCACACTGCTCCTCAGGGCAGCTGCTGCTCCACTTTAGTGACTTTGCTCAGCTTTCTTTTCCCCCAGGGTCAGTCATGGTCTTGGTTGTGTCCCTGAACGCAATCCCTGTTCCCAGCCGCCGCTCCTCCCTACCTGGAGGGGCATAACTGACCACCCAGACTCCTGTCATTGCAAGAAGATGAATGCATGGCGCTACTGTGCGTAAGACAAACTCCTGGCTCTCTTAGGCCTCTTAGATCCATCTCACCCTTTCTCCTCACAGAAGTTCCCAGCACTTTCTCCTCTCCTCTGGCCTCAGAGGGACGCTGAAGCTCATGTAAGAACACTTATGTGGGCAGAAAATGCCACTTTTCCTTGGGTTGCCAGCCAGCCTCTCATAGATCTTTACATCATGTGTCACCCACGAGGGAGGGTTTGGTGGCCCAGGGAGCTCCCTGCCAAAATAAAGAGCCAGGCACACTCTCTAATAAAAGTCTTCTGTGGGGCTGAGAAGGTGGCTAAGTGGAAGAGTGCTTGCCTTGCATGCACGAGGCCCTGGGTTTGATTCCTCAGCACCACATAAGCAAAAAAGAAAAAAAGCCGGAAGTGGCGCTATGGCTCAAGTGGTCGAGCTAAAGAGCTGAGGGACAGCGCCCAGGCCCAGAGTTCAGGCCCCATGACTGGACCCCCCCACCCCAAAAAAATAAATAAAGTCTTCTGCGTCTGAAAAGGTGGTGTGCTTTCTCCAATCATCTTGCTAAATACATCAGAACACGGTGAACACTGGACAAAGAAGAAACAGAAGAAAACTGAAAGAAATACCTGACCAATGAAGGGGCCAGAGGCCATGGACGACACGGTGGTGCTTCCCTAGATTTTGTTTGCCTGATGCATCTCCCATGCGGGACTAAGGAAGCCCTAACCCAGACGTGCCACGCAGAGACCGAACGGGAAGGAAACTCACTTCACAAACGTAATGAGGCTCTGTATAGATCGACTCAAGCAAGCTGCAAACAAAACAGCCAATTGGGGCTGGGAAGGTGGCTCAGTGGTAGAGCGCTTTCCTTGCATGCCAGAGGCCCTGGGTTCAATTCCTCAGCACCACATAAGCAAAAAGAAAGAAGCCGGAAGTGGCGCTGTGGCTCAAGTGGTAGAGCGCTAGCCTTGAGCTGAAGAGCTGAGGGACAGCGCCCAGGCCCAGAGTTCAGGCCCCACAACCGGACCAAAAAAAAAAAAACATGCCAAAAGCTGGATACAAGATCCCTATTTCCAAAAACCCACAAATTTTATCCTCATATACTAGAAATTAACATGTGAAAAACTGAAAAGTAGAAAAATAATATTTGCCAGGTACCAGTGGCTCACGCCTGTCATCCTAGCTATCCAGGAGGCTGAGATCTGAGGATGGAGGTTCAAAGCCAACCCCGGGCAAGAAACTCTGTGAGACTGATCTCCAATGAACCACCAGAAAACCGAAGTGGCGCTGTGGCTCAAGTGGTAGAGCGCTAGCCTTGGGCTGAAGAGCTGAGGGACAGCGCCCAGGCCCAGAGCTCAGGCCCTGGACCAACCAAAAAAAGACACTCCTAAGCTGTTTGGCAAATACGGGTATAACCACCATCAGAAACACACAGGGTAATGGGACATTAAATGCTGGCAAGGCCGTCAGGAAGCTGGAGTGCTCGCTGCACGTGTGTGCAAGGGGCACTAGCAAACACTGTTTTGTGGCCTCTGAACACGCACACGCACACCCTAAGCGTGCAGAAACATCACTCGAGGACATTTGTCCCAGATGATGAGGGCACAGTAGGGGAAAAAACCCTCAATATCCTTCCACGGATAGGTGGTTAAATAAAGTGTGCATCTACTGTGGGATGGTCCTGTGCGGGCCAGGGCAGAGAGCCCGCGCGGTCAAAGGGCTCCTGATTTGGCTTTGGGTGCTGGAGGCGAGTTCCCCAAGTAGCTCTGACGGGGTCGGGCTACGGGTGGGCTGCGCCTCCTCCCCGCCTGGGCCCGGTACAGGCGTGCGCCCCGGCCACTGCAGCCCCAGACACCCGAGGACCCTCGGCCCGCGCCTCCCAGCCGGCCCCTTCCAGTCCTGCCCTTGGGCGGCGGCGGTGCGCGCCCCCGCCTTCCAGGTGTCCCGGCAGGGGAAGGAAGGCGTCCCGTCTGGCAGCCGCCCCGCCCCGGCGCCCGGGCCGCCTCCCCCCGCCCGACTTCCAGTTCCAGGCTGGGGCAGCCGAGGGGAGCGTCCGCACCCGGTGAGTGTGTGCGTGCGTGTGCGGGCCCGGCCAGCGTGCAAGGGCGTCCAGTGGAGGCGCGTAGGCGGGGCG